TTAGTAATATGAATATGTTCGACTGTACCAATACCCTTAATTATGTTGGGTACAGTAGAATTTTCCATATAATCAAGTAACATGAGAATTTCAATTAATTATTTTGATCATGAAAGGTAAAACAATGTCTAACTAATTAGTATATTAATGCATATGCTATTAAATGCAATTTATCAAAAAAAAGTCAACCCCTTAATATTTCATATAAAGAAATATTTATAGATCTTACCAAGTAAATGTTAAATTCCTAAATTTACTGGTATAAAAAATGTTTTTTACATTAGAAATTTACTCTGGATCCTAAAAAACTGATGAGATTTAGCTAGACGACTATATACTTTTGTAATATTCTGCATTAGTTGCTATAGAATTGATCTAGAAAAATACTTTATATGTCAATTGTGCTAAGAACTATTAATTTATTAAAAAAAATTGTAGATTAATTCTTTATCAATTGATCTACAAAGTAAACGTTGTGTTACAAGCTTTGATATTCCTAACAAAACTTTTTAGACTGATTTTCTGTACAACAATTTAGAATATAGTGACTTTCTACAATTCTTATTATAATTGAACTAGAAAGTTCAAAATACGTTCTTTTTTTTTAATTTCTGTGACGCACACATATTTTCATTCTTGATCCAATTTTCAAACTCCTATGCTCTGGTTCAATAAATTCAAGATGCATTGAGGAAAGTGTTTCAAGTTTACATTATTGTCGAAGGCTTCAAACACTATTGTCAACTTGTTTAAGACAACATTATATTTTCATAGACAATAACAAAGATATCACAAACCTTATATTTTCTAGTTACGAGGCCAAATGCAAGAAATTTGTCTGCTTGTTTTCATTTGATCTAATAGGAATTCAATTATTTTCTTGTTTTTTTGTTTCACATTTTTTATATTATAGAACTCTCGTTTAGGTTATATTAATTCATCTTTGATAAAATTTTAATCACTACTTTATATACAACACCTATTATCTCTTAGATCAAACTTGAAAATCACTAGTGAGTGTGTTGTATTGTCAAAGTAGTAGTGGCGAAAGTTTTGATGGTCATGAATGCATATAACTTTAGTAGGAGTTTTTAATAACATAAATCTGAAAAAGGAAGGAAAGTCGTATTAAAAGAAGGTATTGAATTTTTATTAGATCAAATGGAAAAAAATTAAAAAGAATGAAAGTTGGGTGAAAAAAAAAGGCTTAAATATGTTTTTAGTCCATCAAATTTAGGGTAAATCTATTTTTGGTCCCTCAAATTTAAAATTGTTGTTTTTAGTCCCTATAATTTTAAAAAAAATATTATTTTAGTCCTTATATTCAAATTTTGTTAAGAAATTTATCAAATTTATATAAATGAGTATTGGCTTAAATACATTTTTTGTTTTTATAAAATTAACAAGTTTTGATTTTGATCTCTATAAAATTTTTCTTTTGTTTTATCCTCTAAAATTCATAATTATGTTTTTAATCTCTAATATTATGTTATCTTTTTTAACTAGTTATATATCTTTAGAAGGTCAAATGACCATATTAAGTGATACCTAAAATTGTTTGTGATACTTTGAGCTTGTTTGGATAAGGTTTGAGAATTTTTTAGAATTTTTCTACTGAAAATAAAAAGTATTTTTTAGTAAAGAAGTTGCTAAAAACGCTTTTAAACTTATATCCAAACAGGTTCTTTATAATAAATGATACCTTTGAGAAATTATATACATCTTTAAAATAATTATTATTTATATACCTTAAAATGATTAATAATTTTAGCATGAAAAAATTGTAAATTTTAATTAATTTTAAAAGACTTTATAGGAATGTCATGACTTTAAAGAATTTTTTTAAAAGACTTTTAAAATTTGAATTTTATTCAAGACTTTGTAATTAAGATTTTAATGGATTTATATTATAAGATTTTAAAGGACTTTATGGATTTCATAGGAAAATATGGATTTGTAATGCTACAAGATTTAATAAAAAAAACAAAGAAAATTAAAAACCAATACATTTTTTTTTCTTTTTGACAAATAATTGTTTCTATCTTTTGACAAATAATTGACTTTAATGTCCTCATAACTAATATTTTTTCACATATCTAAAATTATATTAGCCCTCTATGCATTGACATATTCTATTTCATGCATTTGAGTATGAATAATATGTTCAAAATTATGATTTTTATTAATTGATAACATTGAAGATAAATATTCATCCACTAATTCGATTGAAAATTCATCATAACGACATTCTTTGTAAAGAAAGTTATGTAATACTACATGTTAATACAAGTTCAGCTAATGTATTAAGTAAAAACTTTGTTTTCATTTTGAGGGTCATTACCATGACCTACAAAGTCTTTTTAATATAAGTTTTTAAATTTTATATTGTAATATTAAATTTTAATAAAAACAAACAATTACATTTTAATAATTAAAAAATTAACAATAAATAATATTTAATAATAAAAAATCATTTTAAACATTTAATAATTAAAAATAAATATTGATAAATTATACATTAATTGATAGATAAAAAAAAGATATGAGAAAAAGAAGAATAAAAGATTAATGAGAGAGATGAATAAAAATAGAGAACAAAGAGAAAGACAAAGAAAAACAAGAAAGATGGGAGAGAAAGGGAGAGAAAATAGAATATGAAATGGAAAATAAGCTTAAGAGATAAATATAAAAAAAATGAGATAGAGAAAAGAGAGAGAGAGAGAAACAAGAACAACGAGAGAGAAGGAGAGAGAAAACTAAACCCTAAACCCTAAACCTTAAACAAGAAAAGTCAGGAAAAAGATTTAAGAGAAAAAAAATAAAAATAGAAGAAAAAAAATCATGTGAAATCTCAACAGTTTTGGTAAAGATTATTTAACGAGTAAATTACATGTAAATTATATTAAAAAATCTTATAAAATTTAATATTTAAAATAATCCATTGAAATATTTATATTTTGAATATTAATAGATTTTTTTAAGTGAATTTTTTTTAATTAAATATCATTAGATTTTCATTAACTCCTAAAACAATCCTAATTTTCTTAATTGAATATGACCAAATTTTAAAAAATTCTTAAAACAATCTTAATTATTTTGATTGAATACCACATATTTTTTTATATTAAAAAAGTTTTAATTGAATACTACAATAATTTTTTTTTATAATAAAATAATCTTTTAAAATTTATTGAAATCTTAATCCAATAATTTTTAAAATATTTGGAATTTTATATGACTTTTTCCCTTCCATTTTTACTCTTTCTTTCTTCTCTCTCTTAAATCTTCATATTATTTTTTTTGTTTTTTATTCACTCTCATCATTCTTGTCTTTCTATTTTCTTATCTATCTTATTTTCTCCTTTTCTTTTTATTCATCACTTTCCTTCATCTTATTATTATATTTTTTATCTCATATTCTTTTTTGACTCTCATTCTTTTTCGTCTTTCTTGTTTTTATTTATTTATCTCTCCCCTTTATTTTTTTTTCTTCCCTTATATCTTTTTATCTATCAATTAATATATAATTTATCAATATTAATTTTATAACTATTAAATATTTAAAATAATTTTTATATTATTGAATATTATATGTTGTTAATTTTTTAAAATTATTAAAATTCAACTGTTTATTTTTAATAAAATTCAATATTAAAATATTATATTTTTAAAACACATATTGAAAAGATTTTACTATTAAAAATGACCAGTAACGCCTGCTTCCAGAAAGGGAAAAAGAAAAATATTTTTGTATTGAAAAAGGAAAGAGGCATGGAGAATGACGCTCCTTACCTGGCTACGGCAGCATAAAGTCATAGAGCACGCTATTCTACAATAGAAAATATCGTCCCTATTCCATGCTTAAGCCTATGTAAGAGGAATATGCCAAACATATTAACACACTATCAGAATATTCTTTATACTAATTAATATAATTATCTTAATTAGTTATTGAAAATATGTTATTAGTGATTTGAAGAACTAAAATAAGATTTTTAAAAATTACAAAGGTTAAAAAAATAATTTTAAATTTAAGAGATTAAAAATAAATTTATCTTAAATTTAAAAAATTAAAAACATATTTAAATTAAACAATTATACAAGATATTGTGTTATTTTAATTAATAAATATACTAGTAAGTGAATTTTGTAAAATATATTTAATAATAGACAATTTTTATTTAATAGATATACTAACAATACTAATATTTTAGTTTGTGCATTTCATGGGTCAAATATTTATTATATATAACTAAAATTTATAATAAATTATATATAAATAAATATTATATTTGAATATATAAATTATATTTAAAATTAGTATAAATAAATATTTTTAAATATATTAATTGTATTTTAAATTTAAGATAATATATATGTATATTAACAATTTTTTTATATATATTTTCCAAAAAAATAGTTATTGATAAATTATTTTAAAATATTAAATATAATTTATAAATAAACATAATAAGTAAAAAATTGAATTAGATAAAAGTTAAAAAAAAAATCAAAATGATCCTGCCAAAAAATAACTTCTAAAAATATTTTTGCAAGATAATAATTCACATTTAATAATTAAGAATTAATTTACAAAGAGATATTAAAACAAGAAATTTCTAATTAAAAATTAAAAATAAATTTATTTAAATGACAAAAAATTAATTTACCTCGTATAAAAGAAAGTAAAAACATATTTAAACTAATGTATGTGTGTGTGTGTTTTTTATCTTAATATTAAGTTATCTACACATATATAATTATTAAATTGCTGTTTGGTGATTGATTATTGCAGTAATATAAGAGAACATTAATTTAAATTAAATTATAGTATTATTTCCTTATGCTGATAAAAAAAAATATATTTCCTTATTTTTCTCCTCTACTCGTGGCTACTCGTAAACTTCTCTAGAATTCACGTGACTATCTACTTTTTCTTAAAAAAGTGAAAACGCAAACGGAAAAGGAAAACTGCGACTCTACTAGACTACTAACAGTTGTCCAATAAAATTGTATTTATAAGTGTTTATTTGTTACCAAACCACACAACACAACACAACAAGCGAGCCACAGGGTTTGGTTTTGTTAGGTTACCTCTGTGACATTTGTGTTGTTAGTTGCGGCTGACACCCAGAAACAAAGAGGTATGCACCATATCGCGTGTAACGTGTATATCATAAATGATTATTAGTCATCTGGATTACGCATATATGGTTTTACGATTGAATCTGAATCTGGTAGAAAAGAAGAAGAAAAAAAAAACGCAGATGGGTAGTAAATGATTATGATTATTAGTGTATCTGAATGATGTGTATTTGGGTTTGTGTTTGAATCTGAATCTGATAGGAAAAAGAGAGAAAAGCGCAGATGGGTAGCACATGGAAATTGGCGGATCATCCAAAGCTTCCAAAGGGGAAGCAGGTGGCTTTGATTGTGTTGGATGGTTGGGGTGAGGCCAAGCCCGATGAGTACAAAGTAAAAAAAAAAACGAAGAAAATATATCATTTAATTTTTTTAATTCACATGAGAGATTTCGCCCAATGTGTGTGGATCTTATTTACCATAAAATGAATTAATAATTTACCTCCGTGCAAATTGGCTTTTGATTGACTTCAGATCATAGAAATCAATTTCCATGTGGAATAGAAATATAGAATTCACGTATTTTAGAATGTGAAATATTTATTATATATAATAAATTATATATAAATAAATATTATATTTGAATATATAAATTATATTTAAAATTAGTATAAATAAATATTTTTAAATATATTAATTGTATTTTAAATTTAAGATAATATATATGTATATTAACAATTTTTTTATATATATTTTCCAAAAAAATAGTTATTGATAAATTATTTTAAAATATTAAATATAATTTATAAATAAACATAATAAGTAAAAAATTGAATTAGATAAAAGTTAAAAAAAAAATCAAAATGATCCTGCCAAAAAATAACTTCTAAAAATATTTTTGCAAGATAATAATTCACATTTAATAATTAAGAATTAATTTACAAAGAGATATTAAAACAAGAAATTTCTAATTAAAAATTAAAAATAAATTTATTTAAATGACAAAAAATTAATTTACCTCGTATAAAAGAAAGTAAAAACATATTTAAACTAATGTATGTGTGTGTGTGTTTTTTATCTTAATATTAAGTTATCTACACATATATAATTATTAAATTGCTGTTTGGTGATTGATTATTGCAGTAATATAAGAGAACATTAATTTAAATTAAATTATAGTATTATTTCCTTATGCTGATAAAAAAAAATATATTTCCTTATTTTTCTCCTCTACTCGTGGCTACTCGTAAACTTCTCTAGAATTCACGTGACTATCTACTTTTTCTTAAAAAAGTGAAAACGCAAACGGAAAAGGAAAACTGCGACTCTACTAGACTACTAACAGTTGTCCAATAAAATTGTATTTATAAGTGTTTATTTGTTACCAAACCACACAACACAACACAACAAGCGAGCCACAGGGTTTGGTTTTGTTAGGTTACCTCTGTGACATTTGTGTTGTTAGTTGCGGCTGACACCCAGAAACAAAGAGGTATGCACCATATCGCGTGTAACGTGTATATCATAAATGATTATTAGTCATCTGGATTACGCATATATGGTTTTACGATTGAATCTGAATCTGGTAGAAAAGAAGAAGAAAAAAAAAACGCAGATGGGTAGTAAATGATTATGATTATTAGTGTATCTGAATGATGTGTATTTGGGTTTGTGTTTGAATCTGAATCTGATAGGAAAAAGAGAGAAAAGCGCAGATGGGTAGCACATGGAAATTGGCGGATCATCCAAAGCTTCCAAAGGGGAAGCAGGTGGCTTTGATTGTGTTGGATGGTTGGGGTGAGGCCAAGCCCGATGAGTACAATTGCATCCACAACGCTGAAACACCCTGCATGGATTCCCTTAAAAAGGTTCGTTTTGTTGTGCTTGTTGGATCCAATTTTTGTTTGCAGATTTCAAAGATCTATTGTTGTTTTGGTTAGATGGAATTAATGAGGGTTGTTGTTGTGTTATACAGGGTGCCCCTGAACGGTGGAGACTGGTTAAGGCTCATGGTACTGCTGTAGGCCTTCCATCAGATGATGATATGGGCAATAGTGAAGTTGGTCATAATGCCCTTGGGGCTGGTCGCATATTTGCTCAGGGGTAAGCTAAAATTAGCCTCTCTATTCATGTAACTAGCCCCATCTGGCTATTGATGCTAATTTCTATCAGAAACCTGAGTCATCACTTTAAGTGGGGTACTGTTTTTCATTCACAATACTCAAATCTCGAGATCTTGCTTGGTCACCTTTAGTGAAGTCTCCTATGAAACACGTTTTCATTCACAAGACTCAAATATGAGATCTTACTTGAGGGGACAGATTCCTGTACTACTCGAACTAACAGCTTGTTGGTCCATCTACATATGTTACTATCACTGTTTGTCATTTTGTATTTTATAAAGCAGTTGATATCTGGAATTATGGAAATCATTTTTTTTAGATTTACTGGTGTTTTCGCGAGAGCTTGGTTTTCAATGTTTATTGGATTATGTTGCTGGTGTTTGAGATTTATGGTAGCTATGAATATGGACTAATCTTGTTTCTTGTAAATATTTATATTTGTTGTGCCTTTCTTTTTTATGTCATGGATTGAGCCATAAAATGGCCCGTTCTGCATTGTTTCTTAAGTTATGCTAAATGTGATCAATAATGATAAATGTGCCCCAGATACTCGTGTAGATTTTTTTTAGATGCAACAGAATTATCAACAACACTGTTGTGGTTTTGTGTATTCTCTTGTTTTATGTCACTTTTCCCAAATTTGTATGATGTTTGGGTGCACAATATTTCGTATTGTATTTCAATTGATTTCTTCTGTGGAATTAGGGTTTACAATAGCACTTTTACCTTGAAATCAATGAAATGTTCAGTCATGGTCTTCCCATATAAGCTATTTGGTCCCTTTTTCTTGTTTAAAAATTATTCTAGTTTGTGTGGTGATTGGATTGTGATATCTTTGTTTATGATTGTTCATTGTAGTGCTAAGCTTGTCGACCTTGCTCTAGCCTCTGGAAAAATATTTGAAGGAGAAGGTTTCAAATACATAAAGGAAAGTTTTGAAACGGGTACATTGCATCTCATTGGGTTACTGAGTGATGGTGGAGTTCACTCCAGACTTGATCAGTTGCAGGTGATTATTTGGAACTTGTGTTTCTTCATGTCTATAAAATTTATTCTTTCTAACTAACTATTTTTGTGCAGTTGTTACTTAAAGGAGTTGGTGAGCGTGGTGTTAAAAGAGTCCGTGTCCATATTCTAACAGATGGCCGTGATGTTTTGGATGGTTCAAGTGTCGGGTTTGTGGAAACCCTTGAAAATGATCTTGCACAATTGCGTGAGAAAGGTATCGATGCGAAGATAGCATCAGGTGGGGGTCGAATGAATGTCACAATGGATCGTTATGAGGTATAGTGACCTGGAAATGCCCTTCAATTTGCATAACTCAGGCATCTTTCATTACTGCACTCCTATTTGGATTTTAGTAGTAATGCTTCCCCCCTGCTTTAATTTTTTTTTAAAAAAATCTCTTGTATTTTCACAATTAACTCTTTTGCCACTTTTTATTTGTATACAAGACAATTTTAATTCATTAAAAAATCGGATATGTGTGCTAACAGCAATTATAATATTTACAGATTTTGAAGTTCACTTTATAGTGCCTGATTACATATGTGAGTTATGTTCTGCATTGAAGTTATCCTTAAATTTGAAAATGTTTTGGTGAATTATAGTATTCATTCAATAGGCTGTGACCATTCCACTGTTTCACTGCAAATTTAGCTTTGTGTTCTATCGTCTTATGCCTGGCACTTAATGCATCATTTAACTTTTTATCTAGTCTCTGCCTCTGAATTTTTTGCAGCTATGCATCTATTATCCACCAACCAATTTTATTCTGTCTATTATGCATCTATTATACACCAACCAATTTCGTCGTCATAATGCCATATTACCTCTGAAGTTGTCAAAGGAAAACAAAACAAACTGCTGTCAAATCTTTTATTAATTTATTTATTTTGGGTGTGAAAACATGTTAGTTATAAAACTACCTTTTTATGGTTAACTTTGTATTTTCATATTTTCATATCTGATTCATTATTTTCAAAACAAACTGCAGAATGACTGGAATGTTGTGAAACGAGGGTGGGATGCTCAAGTTCTTGGTGAAGCCCCTCACAAGTTTACAAATGCTGTTGAAGCTGTCAAGAAGCTGAGGGCAGAACCAAAAGCCAATGACCAGTATCTGCCTCCTTTTGTTATTGTTGATGAGAATGGAAAACCTGTTGGTCCAATAGTTGATGGTGATGCGGTTGTTACATTCAACTTCCGAGCTGATCGTATGGTTATGATTGCTAAGTCTCTTGAATATGAAAATTTTGACAAATTTGATAGAGTTCGTTTCCCAAAAATCCGCTATGCTGGAATGCTTGAATATGATGGTGAATTGAAGCTTCCAAGTCATTACCTTGTTTCTCCACCAGAGATTGATAGGACTTCTGGTGAATATTTAGTGCATAATGGTATTCGAACCTTTGCTTGCAGGTGAATCATCTCTTTTAATCTTTAGTAGGATTTTCACGATATTGTAATTTATGGAATCCATAACCTGCTTATCTATTCTTGATGGTGAATGTTGGAATCTGTTTAATACATGAGAGTCCACATGTTTATTTTGTTGGCCCAACCTGATGAACAAATGTTTCTTGTTTGAGTCCTTCCAACTGGGGTTAATAATTAAAGATAACAACTTTGTGTGGTGAGAAATAAGAAGTATAAATTCATGTCATTTGTGAGACTGCCTTAATGTTTACCTTAAGCACTTTTCATTATCTAGTTCTTATCTTTTAAATGATAGCTATTGTAGTCACTTGTATGAATTTCTTTGTCAACAGTGAGACTGTCAAATTTGGTCATGTCACATTCTTCTGGAATGGCAACCGATCTGGGTATTTTAATAAAGAATTGGAGCAATATGTGGAAATTCCTAGCGACTCAGGGATTACATTCAATGAACAACCAAAAATGAAAGCATTACAGATTGGTGAAAAGGCTAGGGATGCTATTCTTAGCGGGAAATTTGATCAGGTAACTAAATGGTTTACCAGTTGATTTTGGGAATCATGGTCTAATTAATTATACTTTTAGTTACTCTTATTTATGTGTTGTATAGGTACGTGTCAACCTGCCAAATGGTGACATGGTGGGGCATACAGGTGACATTGAAGCAACAGTTGTGGCTTGCAAGGCAGCTGACGAAGCTGTGAAGGTATGAAGCTTAATTTTCAAATTTGTTGCAGCATTTCTGTAAATAAAACTTGTTATATTCTTTTTAAACTCCACTGAAATTTTTGGGAATTCCATATTTCAATTTTAGATTTTTATTTCATGACTAAAATTAGTACTCAGGTGATTAATCAGTGTAAACAAGTAAAACAATTTTTAGTTTGCAAACTTGTGTTATGTGTTTTGTTACAGTAATTTGGTGAGAAAGTTAATCTTATACAAGAATGAGAGGAGTGAATTTTGTTTGATTTATATGAACAGTTAAGTTTAAGACATCAAGTCATGTGACTTGGTGCCGTAGTATTGTGTCTATCACTTTCTTAAGGAGGGGAAAGAATAAATGTCTTCTGGTAGCTGGTCATATCCTTAATCTTGTGGCATGTTATTGCCAATTAAGCAATTACCCTATAAAGAAACGAACAAGAGAGATGAAAGCTAAATAGCTACTCATTGTATTGATTAACGTATATTTACATACGTAATTGCAGATGATTATTGATGCCATAGAGAAAGTTGGAGGAATTTATGTTGTCACAGCTGACCACGGAAACGCAGAGGATATGGTCAAGAGGGATAAATCTGGAAAACCTCTTCTCAAGGATGGAAAAATCCAGATTCTTACTTCCCATACTCTTGAGCCTGTAAGTTTTACAAGTTATGTCAGTTATTGATTAGAAGTTTACACTCTCAAATTTCAATGAGTTATGGATGACTTGAGGGATCTCCAAAAATCCATAACATGTTTATTTGGATACATGTCTAGAAGCATTGGCTTTTGTTTTCATAGGCTAATTAAAATGGCCCTTTTCCAATCAATTCAGATAAAGTCTGTTTGGATAATCTTCAAAAGAACTTGTAACAGAAGAAAATAAGAAAGAAAAATGAATAAGTTTTTGTAGAAGCTCCCTCATATTAGCTTTTCCATAAAAAAGACTTAGTTTTAATATTTTTAATTTTAGCATATGGAAAAAAAACTCATTTTTTTTCTTTCATTTATAGTACTTTTGGAGATGTTTATTAAAACATTCCGAAAGGAAATTTAAATGCATATCTTTAACTTTTGGTACTGTTTTCTAATTAAAATTAGAGCTTCACTTTAGTGATCCATCGATAATAAAGGTTTTCATGTCAACATAGGCTACGAAAGTGAAACTCTAATTTTGAAGTATATAAGGAACAATATTTAGGTTTTGTCCTTCAGATAAAGCATTAAGATGTGGGCATAATCATTATTTGACATCAACCTTAGTTTTGGTTCTGAATCTCATACTTTTCCTTGCTGGTTAAGGTGCCAATTGCTATTGGAGGCCCTGGATTGATCCCTGGTGCCAGATTCCGTAACGATGTTCCAACCGGCGGGCTGGCGAACGTTGCTGCAACTGTGATTAATCTTCATGGATTTGAGGCTCCCAGCGACTACGAGACAACTCTCATAGAAGTAGTTGATAATTGATAACTAGGAACAAGTAGATGAATTATTATAATTTTCGAAACTACAGGGAAAGCTGTAGATTACAGCCCTCAAATAATTGAAAGTTTTCATCCCTCCACATGTGTGGTGGTTTTGTTCTTGTGAGTTTCCAATCAGTCTGAAGTTGAGACAGAACGGTATAAGTACTTTTAAGTGATATTTTGATACTTTCACTCTTGTGCTTTGAATCAGGTTTTTTGATTGACAACTTAACTTGCAAGGTCACTTGCAAGGTCATCTCTAAGGCTAAATCATGCTTGTGAAATGTCTTTATTGGCTGATTCGTGCGTTATCATGTTGACGAGGGAACTCATGTCTCTATCATCATCATGCTTTGTAATCAAAATCATGTGACACTAGGATTTGAAATAGAACGTTTTGACCATAGAAGTGATTGCAACCGTCAGAAATTAAGCCGACTGAAAAGCATATTTTTTCTTCTCGAAATGAATAATGCTTTTAGGTCTATGTGTAAAATCCTATGCTTTGAAGATATGAATATTATCTCCTTTGAATCGAATCTAAAGTCGTGTTTTAATTTTAAAAGGGGTTCTGTATTTTTTTTTCTGAAATACTCAACGTGGAACTTGACTAAAGACCATAGAAATTAAGAATCCGAATATTACATGTGAATTTTCCTTGGATTTTTAATTAGTGTAGAGTTTACAATGTCAGTCAATTACATATAATCGGAATGATTTGTAATTTTGATAGTGTCAAATCCTTTATACTAATAATTCATAAGTACAAAATTCATTTCCTTGAAAAAGAAAACTCTTAATTTATTTTTTTGGATGTAGGCATGTAGCTTAATGTTAAAAGCCTATTAATAATCTTGAGGGGAATGTGACCACTGGTTTTCTATTGAATGAGCCATGACTGTAACTTAATATCAAATAATAAGTATATAGGAAGATATAAGTAACAAGAGATTCAACAAAGAAGAAAAAGATTAGAAAGAGATCATACATAAAAGTTTTTGAAAAAAAAAACCGAGAGAAGAAAAATAAATTCCCTTTAAAAAGACCACACTTTACACGAAGTAGATCTACATAAAGATGAGACAATTAAACTCTAACCAAATAAACCAAAGTGTTAGCATAGATTATTAGTTACCACAGCAATCAGGGTTCTCTACTTCTACCAAAATCAGTAAATATAGTTAATGAAAAACTGGTTCAATTGCATTGTCCAAAAAATCCAAACAAAGAATTCAACAAAGAAATAGATATAAAAGGATTCTAAGCTAGCACCAAGTATAACACATTAGGTAAAATAGCCCTGTTTGGCCTTTAAACCTGAAACATATTAGGATTTTCCAGAAACAGTAGAATAATCAAACAACGTATACCGACCACAACTTTTGACTAAAATCAAAATCTACCGACCACAACTTTGAGTAAAATCAAAATCTAGTGTCATAAAGCTAGTTTATTCAAGATTTTAAAGGCTCTAATTTGACTTTTTAAGACAATCTTTATGAACACGAGAAATTTATTTTTTTCGCCAAACAACTCATGGTGGCGGCGAAAAGAATTTAATACCTCTCATTTTATTTATACAAACCCAGGTTGTGGAGTAATCCGTCCAACTAGATAGTTATGCTCTTTAATATTCATAAAGATAGAAAACTGCCACCAGATTCTTATCATACATATCAGCTTAGCACTTGTGTGGTGCTTGAGATAAAAAAAAAAAGGGATTGATTCCAGTTAGTGTTGATCTCTTGACTGTTAAAACAACCGGAAGAAAAATTCTAAAATATGGATACTATAAAATTCATGTCGCACATTGGGTAATCTAAAACCATGGCTGCTACCAATTTTTTTTAATACTTATATAATAAATATAATTTAATAATTTATGTTAATTTATAATTTTTAATATATTTATTTTTTATAATTTATATTATATTAATTTGATATTTTTTATTTTAAATTTAAACTTGTTATTAGTGGCCATTGTTATATTTTATTAAAACTTAAACTTAAATATTATATTATATATAATTTAGAATTTAATGTGTATATTAAATGTTAAAAATATTTAAATAACATTTTATTTTAATATTTAGTGTTATAAAATTATAATTATTTAATATTATTTTTATATTGATAATTATAATAATAATAATTTTATTAATATTAATTTTGTCACGGTTAAACTATTACACTTTGAATCAGAGTCTAAATCAACTCAATGATGGATCTGATTTTAAAAACATTTTATAAAATATTATTAAAAAGAATATTGAAAATACTTTAGTAAAAAAAAAGAACAAAAATATTCTGGTTGAACAACATAACTAAAACACTAATTTAAAATAATTATTAATGTATTCTATTTTGATTGGTGGGTGAAATTGTAGGTGATCCCAAAAGAAGTGAGTATGGTGGCACACACTCTTGTTAATTAAGACTCTTCTTCTCATGGATTTTGGGTTCCAATCACTCAGCTCGAACTGACTGTTCCGACTGAGACTCAGCCCCGAATATATAACTGCTTCAAGCTGGGTGTTGAACCAACGATTATTCAAACCGGTTCAACCTTTCTTTCCTTTTTTTTTTTACAAATTCTTTTACTTTCTTTGTGCAGTGTGGTTTAAATTGTGTTTCAAATTCAAGTTAAAATTTGTAAAATATGCCTAAAAACGGCATAGGCACCAATCAAGCTGGTTCCATATATTGGGGATCTCATATACCACCGCTATACCATTTGTTTCTTTCTATATTTTAGACAAATAATATATATATATATATATATATATATATATATATATATATATATATATATATTATTTGTCTAAAATATAGAAAGAAACAAATGGTATAGCGGTGGTATATGAGATCCCCAATATATGGAACCAGCTTGATTGGTGCCTATGCCGTTTTTAGGCATATTTTACAAATTTTAACTTGAATTTGAAACACAATTTAAACCACACTGCACAAAGAAAGTAAAAGAATTTGTAAAAAAAAAAATAATTATATCTTATTTAACATATTTTATTATTTCACATTCGACTTAAATAATAATTTAAAATTATGTTAATTTATTTGATTCAATTAATTTATAATTTATAGATTACAATTTTTTTTATGTTTATTTGAAATATAGTATGAATTTGATTAAACTTATAAGTGTGAAATATACATAACATGGATATTTTTATTAAAAAAATTAATAAAAATTAAACCATGTAATCTAATTAATGATCTATTAGTTCAATCTTTAATACACTGATCCAATATCTTGATCTATTTGATTTTAAAACATTAGTTCCAATAGAGATTCTTTCAAATTTAGAATTAGACTTATTTATTAACAAAATATTATTTTTGTAAACATATTTTGTTGATTGTTTTATCTATTAACTTTTAAAACATTAATTTTCCCTCATCTTTTTATTTTATTTTTTATTACTTCTACACAAATTCATTTTTCAAACTTTTCACACTTGTAAATAACTATTCAAAATCATTCACTCATATTTTTAAAATTTATAAAATACATAAAAAAGTGAAGTGTATTTTTACCCTATAATTTATTTTCAGATAAATTATCTCGTTGGAGAAATATTTTAAATAATTAAAATGAGGCGACCCAAAATACACTGGTGAATTGAATATTCAAACTGGACCCGCCTAAAATGGTAAGTTAAACGGGCCTGATTGTTGAGCTATTTAAGCCCATTTAATCACCAATGATTAGAACCGAAAAGTATATAAAGCAGTGGTGTGATAATGTTTTGGCAACAAATATTATTATCATATAACCAAGATTCTGTTGTTGAAGTGATGAGAATGGAAGAAAGGCTCAGAAGAAGAAACAATAATGTCATCAAGAAGCTTCAAATTCGCGAGATTTCTTCAATGCCGCATCGTGCTTTTGCTGCTGCCACTGCTTTTCATAGATTCCGCAGCATGCGCTTGACGCAGGAATATGAGACTCTTGATGATCCCTTCAAGACTCAATCTACCCTTTTGCCCTTCCTGATGAAAAGAACTAGAGTTTCCGAAATTATAGCTGCCAAGAATGTGGTCTTTGTTCGTTTCCATTCTGGTTTGTGTTCAGCTTTTAGTAGAGGTGAGGTTTCCCTCAAGAACCATTTTCTTTATCTTTTTTAGGTGTGTGAATTGCCATTGCTCATTACCCCGTTGTGATGTTTGTATAAATACTTCAACTTTGATTCTTTCATGCATGAATTGCCCATTTCCCATTTGTTTACCAATACCATTGACACATTAGTACAAAAATCGTAACTTTTTACTTTTGTTTTTAATGTGTGGATTGCCTTTTAATAAATTAGAAAAATGTTAGGACACTTTCTTTTTTAATACTCTCTATGTTATTAGTATCAATTGTTGTTACTGATTCTAATTTGTGATTGTTGAATTTTATACAAGCCATGAAGTTGGACTTTTTGTGTGTGAATTCCTTGCAGAAACCAATGAGAGGATTTGCATTTTGAACCTCAGCCCCGATGAAGCCATTCACAGCCTCTTCTACAATAAGAACAACGACTCGCTTATTTCTGTCTCCGGTTATGGTTCTGAGAACTTTGGCACTTTGAAATGCAGATCCACAAAGATTGAGTGAGTACATTTTGTGGCTGTTTCTCCTCTTTGATGTGTAAAACTTATTTTTGGGTACACGATCTTTCATTTATGCTCCTAGATACCTACGGATGGGCAAGGCGGATGCCGGGTTTCCTCTTCTACAGTCTGAATCTTTGAAATGGCCAGGATATATAGAGTTTAATGCTGCCAATGGAAAGATCTTAACTCACTCTGCACATGATAGGTACCTTCCTCATTCTCTTTCCACTTCTACTGTTATGTATGTGTTTTCTCTGCTCGTTGGTTATTCTATCTTACACACTTTCTACAAATGGTGTCAGTGTTTACAAGGTCTTTGATCTCAAAGACTACACCATGCTATACTCGATTTCAGATAGGCATGTTAAAGAAATCAAGATCTGGTACTTTCTCTTTTCTTGGGTTGACTTTCTGCTTCATAGTGCCAGTCCATAAATTCTGTCAAGTCATGAGCATGATCATCTTGGGGGTACTGTGATGACTCTTTGCTACATAGTTACAGTTATACTATTAACTAGTTAAAAATATTTGGGTCCTTATTTTTTGACTGATGGTTGGGTTGGTTATAATTTTGCAACAAGATTTATGGATTTATGGATCTTTCTTTTTGTAGGATCTCTGCCTAATCTTCTTTTTATTTTGTTACTTGATATTTTGTTACAGTCCTGGAGTTATGTTACTAATTTCCTATAGAGTCTGTGATCATATTCCCCTCTTGATTGTGTCCATTGAAGATGGCACAGTTCTCAAGGTGTTCAACCATATTCTTCAAAGTAATAAGGTGGTCCTCATCGAGTCATGTAATGAAAAGCTTCTAGTCAAGCAAGAAAATAAGAACCTTCAGATTCTAGATGTAACCTTCATTCTGCTTTTTTCCTTTTATGTGTGTGTTTATGAATGAAAATCTATTACTTTTGGAGTAAGCTAACTGGCTTTTTCTATCCAGCATCGTAAATTCTAATTAAATTACAAGTTAACCGGAGAGTTTGACAACAATGCTCAACAATTAAATTTATGAAATTTGTATTTTAGAATAAATTATTGAAGAAAAAGTGTCTGGATCCTTTCCCTACATGTGTGTGTTA